ATCTATAGCTTGAAATTTCTAATTTGATAACGAAATGTACGGATGATATCTATTGAGTTTCTAACTCATGGGATAATTCCCTTCCTATAGGTTGAATAGATTTCCTTGGGGCGTGGATGATGATAGAGGATGATGTAACATGCTATGAAGGAAGCCGGTGATTTCATAATTTTAATTCGATCATGAAATGTTTTCGTTTGTTTCTTTTTATATGGATTTCTATGGACATCATATATGAAACTATTCTAAGAATATTTCTTCATAAATAAGTTATGTTTAAAAGTAGATATGTGTTATAGAAGTTAATTTATAAAACACCGTTTACAAAAAGAAAGGAAAAAAAAAAGTGTTAGCAAATTTAAGTATTGCTGTCTTTTAAAAAATTCCAGTTTCTGTATTGATTTTACAAATTCATACCTCACTCATTACTTGGAATTTTTAGACAAAACCAATGATGCTGGATAACAACATAGGTTAGCACTGAATTAACCTGGAATCATGTCAATCTGATGTCGGTAGAATTTTATATGTCACTTAAGGTAAACTGCATTGGCTAGTGTTGCTATTTTCCAGCGTCTACCTTGACTTCAAAAATTCATAACTCGATTGTTACTTGCTATTTCTGGATGAAACCAATTGGATTTGATATTCTCATGGATTAGCTATTGAATAAATTTGAAATCATATGACTTTGATGTCTGTGAATTTTTATATGTTATTCTAAGCGAACTGCACCGATTTACTTTTCAACCGGATCGCTGCTAGGTTTTGAAAAATATTCTAATGCCTCATATGATGCTGACGGAAACTAATTTTTGACTATGTTATATTATAAGATGTTCCCTACTTTTTCATAAAATTTTATGAAATTTCAACATTTATAACCATGCAAACGAGTTTATTCTAAAACTTATCGTGTGAAAATGGGAAATCAAAATAGATTTCTCCCTTTCTTACTTCCTAAAGTAGTTCACACGTAGAAATCTATCATACCTTTTATTTGTTTGGTAGATATGTACTTGCCACTATTTACATACTAAAATAGGCATATGCATGAATTTGCTCGACTCTTTTCTTCTTTAATAAATGCCTTTGAAATTATGTTATTATCTAAAAGTAGATTTTAATGGAAAATTCATTGGCAGTTATATATATATATATATATATATATATAGTTCTTAAAAAAAATTTAGCTTAAATTCTTAAATTAAATTATTGTTTAAAATAATTTCTAATCTAAAGTTAAGGTACAATTGTTTGAGTGACGCTTTCATACCAGTAGGTTGGGGCGTTACAGCGTGGTATCCGAGCACGAGTTTAGTCAATTCTGTAGACTCATCATTTTTTCAAAAAAATATATATTATTTTAAGTTCAAGTAGGAAATTTAAAGATGAGAAGAATAAAATATTTAAGGCACTCCATGACATCTTGCATCCATCAGTCGACCTCATCATATGACCTAGGTACGTTTAGCTAAGCAAGGTTAAAAAAATTTATTATGAAAAATATTATGATTCAACGGTTATGTTTTCCATGTTTCACAACATGTTACGTTTTTCTTTATGTATATGTATATGCCTCTATAAATGTTATTTGAAAAAGAAAATGTGCTGTTTAAAAGACATGTACTAGACTAGAGCTTAAAGTTGTGGGTCGCAAATGGTAAAGGAAAGAAAAAAAGGGAAAAATTCTAAGAGAATGAATCATATTAGTCAATAGGAGATAGATATCCAAGTTTACCTAGATTTTGTAGCAGACGATTCTTTAGACCTTGACACTATATATATGTGTGTGTGTGTGTGTGTGTGTGTGTGTGTGTGTGTGTGTGTGTGTTAATAAATAATTTCGGTCAAGTTGAGAAGTAATCCTCTGTTTTTCCCCCCCCCCCCAAGTATGCTGGTAATGAAAAATGAAGTTAAAGAGAGGTATTGCATCTTATTTTATGGAAAATGTCTCGAGCGAACTAGAACAATTTGATAAGGGACCTCTTACAAGCGGTTCAAGACCTTGGCAGGCTGAATCAGTATCCAACTTCATCTATACCATTAGCTCCTATTACTCTCCCAACTCATACCTCGGTGGTTGAATTATTTCGAAGGCATAAGCCACGTTCCTTCGATGGGACATCTAGTCCACTAGTAGTTGAGGAGTGACTTCGTAAGTTAGATCAAATTTTTCTACTCATTGTCTGCACTGACACCCAAAAGGTCCAGTGCGCGGAGTTTATTTTCACTGGTGATTTGCATCACCGGTGCAATTCGATGTCTTGAACCAGGACCTCTGAAGAGCAATTGGCATTAACTTGGGAACAATTCAAGGAGGAAGTGATGAACAAGTATTTCCTCAGTCTTTAACGGATTTCAAGGAGAGCGAATTCCTTCAGCTTAAATAGGGTAATATGTCCCCGACTGATTATGAGAGAAAATTCGATCAACTCTCAAGGTATGCTCCACACCTGGTGGCCAAGGAAATTAAGAAGACTTGAAGGTTTGATCAAGGGTTAAACCCAAACCTAAGCATGATTCTTATGTCACATCGTTTCACATCATACCGTGAGATGCTGGAACGAGCTCACGTTATTTGGTATCAGAAGGCAAATAAAGAACAACACCATCAATTGTACAACCAGTAGGACAAAGGGCAAATTGGAAAAAGAAAATGGAATGGTCAAGACAAAGGAAAAGGAAAATGGCAAAATACGAAGTCGAATATCGAATCTAATGCCAGTAAGGTCATGGTAGCTATAGTTGCACCTTGCTCTAAGTATGGTAAGCCTCATCGTGGGAAATGCTTGTATGAGAATAATGCCTATTTTTGGTCCCGTAAACCAGGACATATTGCTAAGGATTGTCCCAAGTTTACGCAAAAGAAGGATGTTAATAGTGATCAGAACAAAAAGGGAAAAGCACAAGTTTTTACAATGATTCAGAAGAATGCATAGGAGAAATTAAATGTGATAATAGGTATATTACTGATATCTGATACACCTGCTTATGTACTGTTTGATTCAAGAGCTACTCACTCTTTTGTATCATCTTTCATTGCTAAAATCTAGTATTAGTTATGATAAGTCAGAGAATACACTAGAAGTTAGCATCCCCTCAAGTAGAACATTGAACATAAATCAGTTTGCTAAGTAGGTAAATCTTAAAATTGAGGGAAAAACATTTGAAGCTGACTTGTATGTGATAGAGATGAAAGACTTTGATGTGATTTTGAGCATACATGAAAGTTTCTTTTCTGAAATTAGGAGAAGAACAATTTTTTTCCCTGGAATAAAGATCAAACCCCATCTCCAACTAATATCGACCTTACAAGCTGAGAAAATGTTGAGAAAAAAAATATCTTAAGGGTTTCTAGCTAACATCTCAGGAGGAAAACAAGCAACGATAAAGATTGAGGACATACCAGTGGTACAAGAATTTATAAATGTGTTTCCAGAAGATCTACCTAGTATTCCAATAGATAGACAAGTGGAATTCACAATAGATTTGATTCTCGGAGCGGCACCAGTATCTAAAACTCCATACAGAATGGCTCCAAAGGAACTTCAGGAGTTGAAAATTCAACTACAAGAATTGTTAGACAGTGGGTTTATCCGACCAAGTGTATCCCTATGGGGCGCACCAGTGTTGTTCGTAAAGAAGAAAGATGGAAGTACGAGGATGTGTATCGACTATCGAGAGTTGAACCGTTTGACCATCAAGAACATGTATCCTCTCCCGAAAATCGAGAATTTGTTTGATCAATTGAAAGGGGCTAAGGTATTTTTCAAGATCAATTTACGATCTGGATAACAGCTTTCAAAACTGGTTATGGACATTAGGAGTTTATAGTTATGCCGTTCGGGTTTACAAATGCTCCTACAGTGTTCGTGGATCTAATGAATCATGTATTTCATCAGTATTTGGATCAATTTATCATAGTCTTCACTGACAACGTTTTGATTTACTCCAAAAGTAAAGATCAACATGAGAAACATCTTAAAATAGCTCTAGAACTATTGCGCAAGGAAAAATTATATGCCAAATTTAAAAAGTGTGATTTTTGGCTTAAGCGAGTTGGATTCTTCAATCACATAGTTATTGCCCAAGGAATAGAAGTAGATCCAGTAAAAGTAGAAATAGTAACTAATTGAAAGACACAGACTAACGCTGGTGAAGTTTGAAGCTACCTGAGCAACATATTGAGGCCCATAAATAGGAAATGAATCTTTACTCTTCAAAACAGTGAATGACATCTTTTGAAAGCAGTAGATGAGATGAGCAAAATAACTGTTTAAGAGACTCAGCACTTCCAAAAATCATTTGTTCGAATGAACTATTTAGGTTAAAGGAATATATAATTGTAAATTAATTATGCAAAAAGTTTACCTTAGCTAGCTCTTCCACTCGTACAGATTTGTTCTTTTCAAGAAACTCAATTTAGGCAACTCTAGCAATGTTGGATATTGAACAAATAACAATGCAAGCATTTTACCTTGTTTAGAAGAAAAGAATACAAAACAACTACATTTTTATTGAAAATGATAGGATTTATAAGTTTAAAAATGGAAATAAACAGAAGAATCTGGGAAGCATCTGAATTTTTGAAGGAAAAATATACAATGGTATCTCACAAATCTGTACAAAAGAATAACATAATTGGTGCAGAATGGATATTATTTGAAGAAATCATACTTCAATTACGTAGAAGGAACACATTTACCGAAAGATTACATAGCTGCCCTACGTCATGAGAACGTAGAAATTAGTGTCAAGCATATCCCAAATGTTATCATGTTCATCTTATTTTTTTATATGAAAGATAAATCTTGTTTAAGATCCTAAAAATAAAAAAATAGGGCACCTACTATCCTCTTGTACTTCATACAGAAAAAGATTAAAACTCGATACAAATGCCAATGGCACGACATGTTAAGCTATGAATTGTTCTCTTCTCAAACACAAATGATTATTTTTGACGTTAAAGGAGAACAACGAGTATAGTCACAAACATGTTTGAACATAAAGTAAATTAACATTAGAAAGAACAAGAAGAAAAGTGACGACAAATGTATGAAACACATAATTAAAAGATTCATAAAACCTTTATACAGCTTGAGAAATAGTGAAACACATGAGAAAGTAGAAATTTACTCTATTCCTTACTTGGGGTTTCTTGCGATTAGGTTTGTTGGGGGGGACAATGAATATTTGTTGGAAGTTTCCCAAAGAACCCCTTTCTGGTCTCATCATCAGCTCTATTGGAAGTACATATTATGTTGGATGATACCAATGACCTTTTGAAGCTTCACAAGAAAAGTTTACCAATGAGGGGATCTAGTAAAGTTACAAACAAATTAGTTGGGTGATAAAACAGATCTTGCTGAAGAAAACAAAATATGTGTTGCTGGCACAAATGAAGGTATAAGGTTAAAAAAATTCATCCATTTTTCTCACAGAAAATGTATTCATCTATAAAATGAGGCTATAGATCCTCTTCTCCTTTGGTTTTAACCTCTCAAATATGATTTAAAGAGAGAGACAGTAAAGGATCATAAATACTCAGTGCTATGCTAATTGCAATACCTGTCCAACGATGAAAGCATCAACCCAAGAATATGAAGCATCAAACTGTTAAAAATATGAAGTTATGTCAAATTATTAGTTGCACAGATTTTTAGAGTATTTAAGTGAAACGACAATAAGTCATTTAAAAAGTTTCTACAATCAACGAATTCAACCAATACCTCTTCTAGTACCTGCTCCAAAAGTAGCGAATACTCATTGGATTCACAAAGTGCTGCACCTACAAATCAGCAAATCACTGTAATTAAACCTGCAAAATTTGTATGAATTTTCACTGTAATTAAGAATCATGTTCTCCTTTTAGTGAATTTTGGATTCAAGAAAAATAAAATTCTAAGACAAACTAAAAGATTGAAGAAAATGTTGTATATCTGTATATCTTATGTAATCTACCAAAAGTAGCCACAAAACATAAATCAATTCTAAAGAGAGGATCCAAGAAATTTGCGGGGAGATGAGGGGAACTTGCAATCACAAGTACAAAAAACCACTATCGAGAAAAAAGAAAAGGGAAACAGCGCAGAAAGAGCCTGCACTCAAGGGCGGAGCCCATTAGATCGAGTGCGGGCAGATGCCAGCATTGAACTCCAGCCCAGAATATATATATATATATATATTTTAGCCTGAACTCCACAACCATATAGACTGTGTGACAGAAGTAATAAATAAGGATGGGGGTGTCGTTCCGTCATCACTTCGAAATCCACGCAGTAGAAGGTGATAGGCACTATTCACAGAATAATCACCCTTCGTCTCGTCGTAATAAATTAATATTTCTGGTCGGTCGGTGAGGCTTAGGGGGATGGATTTTATCAGCTCCGTATGCACTTGCATATAATTGTCACTCATCAACGTGTCATCCCAACCTCTACATTCCCAAGGGGAGCCGAAACCGGCGGAAAGGAGTCCAGCCTAGCTAGGCAGCCAAGGCTCAGCCAAGACCCGAATGGAAGTGCCATTTCCCACTCTCCAGCGTGGTCCCTCTTCACTCTCCAGAGATGATGAACCAGGTTTGTCCCTGGCTGACATGTAGTCGGTGATGACGTTTCAGATGGGAAGGTGGCTGGTCAGGGGTACTCTAACGGTTCTGTTGGTTTGGTGAGGAGTCCGATCACGAATTCTGTCTTTGGGGATTCGTTGAATCTTGGAATTCGTGAATATGTCTATGAGGTAATTTTCCTGAAGTGCTTGTTTCTTAATTTAATTTTTTATTTCTGAAAATTGATTGTCTCGAATCTATATGAAAGTAACTTGTGGTGATGAAATGGAAAATTTGTAATTGCTGTTCTTTTTAATTTGGTAATATTTGGAGTTGGAAATGTTACATTGCATGTTATTTTATTTGGCAGTATAAAAATCAACTTAGCAAACAAGCAATGTATTTAGAATCAGGCAGAGCCAAGAAAGAACTATAAATAAAACATGATAAACAAGAAAAACATAAATAAATCTCAAAAGCATCTTTCGAACTTCATCAAAATTCATATGTCATCAATAAAGAACTATCCAAGCCACTAGCCTCTTTTTGCAATTCCATATAAGCAAACATTGAAAAAAATATATAAATCAAGTCAAGTGTAAAGCTTTAAATACTACATATTGTGTAAAAATATTTCTTCTCGCATTTTTAAAAGCAAACTCACAAATTAAACTTTCGTAATCAATATTTTCTAAAAAAATCTTGCTCAACAGATATCAAAACTAATCCATTCAATCGTTCTTGTAACTTGGTTGATCACAAATAAGATTTTAATAACTTTGTGTTTGTCTTATCCAACAGATATTGCAAGGCAGAGCTTGTGTTTGTCTTATTCTTCCATTGGTCCATTTTAGGCATATAAACTAATAAATGAAACAGCTGAATTCTCTCTGGTTAATATTAAGCTTAACTCATGGCTCACTTGTTCATGTTTATGTCCATTCACTGTTCCCCATCAACAGGTAGTGGAAGTATGGTCAGATGGGAATGTATCTACCAAAAAAAATAATGAGACGACACTTGTTGAAGTCAAGTGGTGAGTAGTAAGTTTGTGATGCACTGAGCTCAGTTCACTTTTTTGGAGTTAGAAAATATCATTGAAGTTCAAATCTGTAGTGGCTTATATCCAGGGGCGGAGCCCCATTAGGTCGAGTGCCAACTGGAACCCACTATTTTTCTAGCAATCAAAGGAAGCTAGCCAAGCAAAAGAAGAAGCCAGAAGAAGGTGAAGTCCCAATTTCAATTTTCCACCAGTGTGGCAGTGCCCAGAGTGTGTATATATATATATATATATGAAATGAAATTAGCACTTTGGACTTCGATTGCTCAAAGAAGCACGGACAACAGACTTCAGGCTTCCAATGGACTGTGAAATTGTAAGTTCAAGTTACTTAAGATTTGAAAATATCATGAATTGCATTGTGAAATTGTGAGTTAGACGGTGAATTGATTATGTGAAATTGTAAAATGTGAATTGCACTAGATTGATAGTATAAGTTGGTATTGCACTGTGAATTTATTATTTGAAGTATTTTTTAATCATCACTAAATCCATGACCTTGTTATTCATTACAAAACTTTTCTTTAAGCTTGTAGTAGAGAATCTTCCAATCACGTAAAACCATAACAACACTTATTAATTTCATCAAATCTGCTCCAATCCTATGCATTATGTATTTTTCTTCATCTTGAATATTATTAATAATCAAACTCAAATACCTAGTGCAATATCTCTAAAGTGCAACATAATCCTACTATAAGGTCCAAAAAATTATTGAGGACTCGGAGACAACACATTGTGACCATTATCAAGCATTTACATAAAATAGAATTAATCTCATATACCTAGTGAGAGGATAAAAGCTTCACAATGCTGATGTGGTACGAAAATCTCAAAATTTTTATCTTGCCCGCTGAGGCAGGAGATCAAGATAGTTATATGAAAACAAGAAAACTATAGATCCTTATATTTCGGGGAAAAAATAAAATAAAATAATTCAAGATTATACCTTGAAGAGTTCTACTATCCAATTCTGACAAAGTTGAAGAACTCCCAATTTTCGACTCCACTGATCCTTGCGACGCCAATTGGCCACTATTCAACCTCAGAGCGAAAATGCGTCCGACTAGCCGTTGTTGTCAACAACCGAAATGTGGTGCTATCAACGAATCTAACTTCTTCGGTGCAGCCAAAAACTTTTACGATGAAATGTGAAATTGGAGTATTTTTTTATCATCACAAAATCCATGACCAAAAACCTTGACGTTCGACGTCGAAAAAAGTTGCCCGCACTAAACTCGAATCTTGGCTCCGCCGCTGCCTGCACTGGACAGGATCTAGCATTAGTTACCGATTAACAGCCTTTAGCACATCCGGATGATGAAGAACAACCTCATGAATTATACCAAACAGCTATAAGTTTGTAAAGGGCTCGAGTATTTTTTTCCGTTCATCCTCTGAGTACAAGAAGTTGAGTATTGGTGATAACAAACAGACAATAAACAAAATTCAAAGATCAATTTCACAAATTCTCAAAGCCATAGTATGGATGGGATCTTGCTTCTTGGATTTTACCTCTTCTTCCTCTTAGTATTTGATTTAGCTTGTGCAGAACAGAACTCATCAAAAAGCAAGGAAACATGTGAATGGAAAGGGAAATCAAAATACACTTTATAGGGAAAGATATTTTGATGAATAGTGGAAGCTAGTCCAGTGAACAGTGTGAAACCGAATTGAGTGTGAAATGAAGAACTCACAAATGAACAGTTGAGGAATAGTAAAATGTGAGAGGAAACTCACTATGAACAGTTCTTTCATATTGCCACTTTTATTGTGGGGAGAGGAGGGCAACTTGCAATCACAAGTACAAAAAACCACTATCGAGAAAAAAGAAAAGGGAAACAGCGCAGAAAGAGCTTGCACTAGACAGGATCTAGCATTAGTTACTGATTAACAGCTTTTAGCACATTCGGATGATAAAGAACAGCCTCATGAATTATAACAAACAGCTATATGTTCGTAAAGGGCTCAAGTATTTTTTTTCGTTCGTCCTCTGGGTACAAGAAGTTGAGTATCGATGGTAACAAACAGACAATAAACAAAATTCAAAGATCAGTTTCACAAATTCTCGAAGCCACAGTATGGGTGGGATCTTGCTTCTTGGATTTTACCTCTTTTTCCTCTTAAGCCCCGTTTGCCCTCATTACTTCTCATTAAATTAAATTAAATTTTTTCTCTCCTATTTTTAACCACACAATCTTCAATAAAATAATATTATACGTAAATCAAAAACTTTTCTTTTCTTTTCAACCACTCATTTTTCAAAAAAATACTATTCAAAACATTATAATCTCCAAATAACGGGACTCAAACGGGGGCTTAGTATTTGATTTAGCTTGTGTAGAACGGAACTCATCAAAAAGCAAGGAAACGTGTGAATGGAAAGAGGGAAATCAAAATACACTTTATAGGGAAAGATATTTTGATGAATACTGGAAGCTAGTCCAATGAACAGTGTGAAACTGGATTGAGTGTGAAATGAAGAACTCACAAATGAATAGTTGAGGAACAGTAAAATGTGAGAGGAAACTCACAAATGAACAGTTCTTTCATATTGCCACTTTTATAGTAAAGGGGACATATATATGCAAAAAAAATCGAGAAAGAGGAGTAGCCAATTTATATTTCTCATACAAAATTTAGGCACACACGCACGGATTTTAGAGCAATTAGAGTCACTTTTTCTTTAGTCAAATTTGGTGACTTTGAATTTTTTTTAGAGATAAAAACGTACAAAGGGAATTGAGGAGAGAGGAGCGAATATTATTATATAATTTCCACACACCATATCATAGAGAGGCACATAATTGAGGGCTGCCCTGTGGCTGAAGAATATATATTGGTGGCGGAGTGAAGAGCCAAGAAGATATCCATACACACGCATAAACATCGAAAAAAGGGTGTTGCCCAGTGTTGAAAATTATCGAATTACACACAAATTGGGAGTAGCTTTGGAAAGAGAAGCTAGAGGCAGTTTTGGAAGAATTAATTGGAGAAAAACACATGGCATATTCAATTTTACAAATTATTCACGTTCCGTCAATTAATTTGGTGATGTCTTCCTTAAATTCTTATTTTTTTTCTCATTAATATGCGTAGTTAAATTAAATTTTAGAGCGAACAATGTAACTGATTTGAGACATTTATTTCTTTTATTTGAGATTTTTCTTTTTTTATATTTTATGTGTGGATTTTAACTATGTTTTTAATGCTTTGAATTATTTGGCCAATTATTCAATGATTTTGTGAACAATAATTATGTAGAAATGCGGATTCTTGTTTATACTACATATTAAAATTCGGTAAATTAATATAATATGTAGAGATACTTATATTAATTGCTGCGTTCCTATAGAAATTTTTAGAACTATTATTTCGTTTAATTAAATTTAATTTGCATAGAGATATGGAATTGAACTAATTAAATAGGTTCAACGAGAACTCGAGAGGGGTAAGTTGAATACAATAGAAGAATTCGACCGAACACTACTTTAGATTTTATGAATCTCGATATTATAAATAAAGGTGACCAATAGATGAATTTGTTCCACCTTAATCTCCATTTATTATTTGAATTCTCACTCATTTTTCTGTTGCATTCACGAAATTTTTAGTCATTAGATTTAAAAATCACATTTAATCATTGTTCTCATTTATTTTCGTCAAATAAAAGTTAGAAAAAAAAAAGTAAATTGAGTACTAAAATATAGTCCTCGTAGGAACGATAATTCAGACTCAAAAGGTCCACTTTACTACTTATTACGATCCGTCCATTTGCGGGATAAAATCGACAACATGGATCTTGCTGTGCATATAAATATGTATATAGATATGCGTGTACATGGGTATGTATATAAATTTGCATAGGTGTTTGTGGTGTAGTGTGGGTTATAGTTTTCTATGCATATAAATTATATAGGGGGTGTTTGATAGGTATTTTTATGTAAAAACGCATTTTAGAATAGTAAATTGATGTGAAATGTGTGGTTGAGAAATAAGGAAAAGTTTTTTATCTACATGTAATATTATTTTAATAAAGAATGTGTGGTTGAAAATAAGGAAGAGAAAAATGCATTTTGAGAAAAATGGCTACCGAACAGGGGCATAATGTATACATGAATGTTTGTGTTATTCCATATATATATATATTACACGTAATTATATATCTTCAGTGTGAACGTGTGGGCACTATATATATGTGTATGTTTCTGTATGTATATAAAAGTAACTAGGCGAGTGCACACATGCTGTCTATATATATGTGTGTGTGTTCTTGAAGTAGATAGTAAAATGAATTAATATTTTAGTGATCCTTGGACCAAATAGTACATAGCTATTTGAGTTAATGGTATTTTTAAAGGTGGATTTAGTCGAAGTTCCTAAGCAAATGATAATGAATTAGGATTTGGGCACGTTGATTTCGTAGGTGGCTAAGAACATTCCCACTTGCCATTTGAAAAGTTAATTGCTAAGAATTCGAGGTAAGTAAACCTTCCTTTATTTTCATGCGTACGTTACATGATTAAATGTATGAACGTGTTATCTGATTTGCTATTATGTTAACCTGATGTATGGTTATCACATTTTATGTTATAAATGCTTATCATGACATATTCATGTACGACAATGCATCCATAAACATACACGAAGTTTCAACAAACAAAAAGTTTCCAAATGTCATTGACTCAGTGAATGTTTAAAGATATGTATCCCGAATATTTTTGTTACAAGATGTATGTCTATGCCATGAAGGTGTGAGTGGGAAATGGAGCGTGGGGGACTCGGCACACCCGACCAATGATGAATGTTAATGTTAACCGCTCTGCGACTGAATGATGAATGTTCAATGTTAATGTTAACCGCTTTGCGGTACTATCGGTAAATTCGATCGGATTTCAAATAACATGCCCCACTGCATTTTGATTGGCTATATATGATACATCAATTGAGCTCACGTTGTCAATGTTAACATTTTTAAAGAAATGAAAGAATTGGGATACATAACGAAAAATACCTTTTATTTGCAAGCAACGCATATGCATATCATGAGCATGCATCATATCATGAGGTTTGCTTACTAAGCATTAGCTCATCCCACATTATCTCTCCCCATTTTCAGATGATGAAGGCAAGATGATGCGAGTTGACGACTTGTGGTGACATGGACTCAGTAATATTCTATTTAATTGTTGGATTTGCTTTTTGTGAAAATTTGACAATAAATTTAATTGTTCTATATTTCATTTTGAAATAAGGTAAACTTTTATCTTATCACCTTATGATTTTGTTAAGTACAAATCTATTTCCAAAAAATGAAGTCAATGATGTTCATTTTGTCAAAGAAAAGTTAAATCGCTTCCGCATTTATGATTTCAAGAGAAAGTTAAAAGATAATATCTCCAAATTTAGGAATCTAAATTTGGGGGTGTCAGATTGGAAGCCATATCCGAGCTTATGTATGCAATTTTAAACTTCAATAAAATGTTGTTCTCAAAGTTGTTTGAATTCAATGGCAAAACTTTCTCAAACTGTAAGCACCTCAGAGGAGAGATCTTGATCTTAACAGGAGATCACCTCATTTGAACCTTGAGGCGTACGCCATATGCCTCCCTTTGGCAAAGTTGAACGTCAGAGTAAGATGCCTCTGTATGGCTGCAGCATCCATCATGTGAAGAAGCGTGAGCACCTCGGAGGAAAGGTCTTGATCCCAACAGGTGATCACCTTGTCTGAACTTCGAGCGTATACCACATGTCTTCTTTGGCGAAGCTGAACGCCAAAGGGAGAAGCCTCTACATGGTTGCACCATCTATACCATGTTGGGAAGCGTAGATGCCACGGAGCAAAGGTCTTTATCCCAATAAGTGATTACCTTGTCTGAAGTCCAAGGCGTACATCGCATACCTTCCTTTGACAAAGTTGAATGCCAAAGGAAGAAGTCTCTGCATGTGGGGAAGCGTGGGCATCTCAGATGAGAGGTCTTGATCCCATCAGGTGATCACCTCGTCTGAACTCTGAGGCATATGCCACATGCCTCCCTTTATCGAAGTTGAATGCCAAAGAGAGAAGCCTCTACATAGCTGTACTATCTGCCATGTTCGGAAGTGTGCCTTGAAGGAGAGGTCTTGATCCAAACAGGTGATCACCTCGTCTGAACTTCGAGGTGTATGCCATATGCCTTCCTTTGGCGAAGCTGAATGCTAAAGGAATAAGCCTCTACATGGATGCACCATTTACCATGCTAAAAAGCATGGGCAATTCGGAGGAGAGGTCTTGATCCTAATAGGTGATTACCTCGTCTGAACTCCGAGGCGTACGCCACATGCCTCCCTTTGGCGAAGCTGAAAGCCAAAGAAAAAAGCCTTTGTATGGCTGCATCATCCACTATGTGGTAAAGTGTGGGCACTTCAAAAGAGAGGTCTTGATTCCAAAAGGAGATTACCTCGCCTGAACTCCGAGGTGTACCCCACATTTTCCCTATGGCGGAGCTGAACTATTACGAACTTGACACAGCAACTGAACTTATGCAACTAAGTTAAGTCCATTAACTTACTTTACAAGACATGTTAAGATTGGATTACCGGACTGGTCCATGACTATCTTGAGTGATTCAATTTATATGAAGGTCACAATGTCATCGTTATTGTTTAAGTTATTTGGCTTAGACATTCTCTTCATTACCAAGTTAAGTGGTTCAATCTACTTTATGTTCATTATTGGTGCTCATTATCATTCAAGTTATTGAAGTTGGGGTATTACATTTAAGTTGAATCACTAGTTGAAGCCCATACACTTGGAAGAAAAGCAACAATATACAATAAAGAGACAAACGAAATTACAAAAAGAAACTTCATATCTTATTTCAAAAAACTCATTACAAAGAGAGGGGCTGAGGCCATTATATTACTATGAATTGAAAATAAACCTAGACTAAACTCTTGATGGCTGGGATGGAGATACCTCAGAAGTAGGTGCCTCAATGGTTGGAGCTTTTAAAGCTTCTTCTTTATCTTCTT